ATAGGAACCAAATTATAGGTCCACTTTATTTTTGTATCCCTAAGAAATAAATCAATTGAATAAATTTATTTTATAAACTCATTGCTACAAGTCTATAGCTTCATCTACTCAAACTGTTCTTTATAAATCAAAGCATAAGCCTGAAAAACATTCATCCAAAACACCTTTATTCTTAATTCAAACACACACACACACACACACACACACACACAGGAAAACTAGCAATAGTCTAAACATAATAGGGCCACTTACATAAGACATTTTTAATTGTTACAAAAAAGACTTTGGAAAGTTCAATCAATCCTTAAGTCTACAATTCCATTCTTCTATTTATTAGATTACTGCAATAAGATATTATGCTTGAACAATCATAAGCAAACATACAAGTTGTTGGGTATGCTAAAACAGTAGGGAGTGAAGAAGGAAAGGCAGAAGTGAAAAAGTAAAGTTGAGAAAGATAATTAAAAAAAAAAAAGAGTATTGCATCTTGCCCAATCAATCTCTAAGCAAAATAAGTGAAAATATTTTTTTCTAATAGAAACAACAAAACCCAAATTAAAAATAATGTGTTAAAAAAATAACAGATTTTGGTGACTGGTATATGCTAAAGAGGGTTTAATATTATTGTATAAGCAGGGTAATAATTTGGGTCACAGGAGTGTTGCAGCTAATACTAATCTTGATAATAAATAGTGCCTTCTATGTAGTTCATTCTTCTCATTTATCATCTTTCTACAGTACCCTTTTTTTTAATAACTTGAACTCAGTGAGGTAGTTGAGTTTTAAAACCAGCCATACAACTTTTACGTAATAGCCTTTATTGCCAGTTCGAAAAATGACATGAGAAAGATTTACATGTTGCTAAAGGGAAACATAGCACACTGATTTTCCACCTTGGTTTCTCCCTTCTGCACATTAAAAAATAAATAAATAAAATGTTTCTATAATCATACCTATTCTTTTTTGGAATTTTTCTCTTAGTAGTGGCTACATATCCATAGCATACTCATTATTTAAGCAATCACAATCATCAAATTAGTTACGTAGCTGTAAACACCCACTGGTCTTTCCTTCATTATCTTGTAGACTTGTTTCAAGAGTTTACCCTAATCCACTTCTTACCTCTGGTAAAGTAGAAATGTTATTGTTCTCTAAATTTAATTCTTCAAGTGCACTGCATTTTGCCAGTGATCTGGGTATTGCTGACAGTCTGTTATATCTCAGACCAAGACGACTTAAACTGGACAGGTTTCCTGTGAACACAAAAAAAGGAATTTATTTTTTTTAAAATCTGATGAGCCTGTCACTGTACCAAGCTATCCACTAGCTATTTATGAATTACTGTGAAGTACTATTTCAGCAAGATCCTTAACTTCTAGTACCAAGGAACTACACACTAGTCACTGTATCAATTAGGATGAAATTGAAACCACTTTTGTGTCCACTTGTCTTAGAGAAATAATGAAATACACAGCTACAAGTCAATTTTAAAAATAAAGAATTATTAGAAAGTATTGGCATACTTTAATAACAAAATAACTTTTAGATAAGGCCTAACTGAATAACATCAAAGTAGTGCATATTTTAAATTTACAATAGTTATCCCATTTCTATCTATGTGATGAGGATGCAACACAGAACAAGTAGTTACATGTAAAAACATATATGTAATTTTGAGAAAGAAATTTCCAAATTTCTAAAATGGTATTATTTAAAATATAAGATGCACAATTATTTTGTAAGATCGGAAAAGTTCATTATTTTTCATGAGTTTAAATATAAACATTCCAAAATATACCTGAAAAGCTGAGCTGATGGTAAAAACTTTCTCAAAATAATAAAAAAAAATTACAAACCAAAGTGAAAGTTATAGCCTCTCTTATTGTCTAAGCATATGCAGCTTGAGTGCAAACTAACCACTATGGAATACACAAAAAAAGCAGAAAAATAGGCATTTTCTAGTTTTATTGTCAAGACTACATGGCAAGCTACATGGATGAGTATGATGATATCTGCTATCATAAAAGGTTTAAATAAAATTTAATTTTCCAAACAATATACATTAGAAAATAAGTTCATTTTGTTACCAAAAAAAAAAAAAAGGTAACAGTATTGAGATTTTAGTTCAATGTATGTCTTTGTCATAGCTAGTTAATTCCTTTTCTGACTTCAAATTACAGCTGTTGCTATAAGATTTTTAGATGGGCCAGGTTAAAATGTCAAATGTAGCCTCTAGCGTTAAATTAAAAAGTATTACCAGTGTTAGAAATTATGGAAGTGGATGCCTATGTCACAGTTAACTTTCTGGAGAAAAATAATTTGATGCCTTTTGACTTTCAGCAATATTCTGATGTTTGTCTATTTCTTTCTTTTTGCTTTGACCATTTTTCAAGGAGCTGTATGAATAACTTCCTTTCTTAGATGCAACATTACTATAATACTTTCAGAAAACATATATTAGCCTATAGCATAAGTGAAGCCTGGAGGGCAGTCACTATGCTTCATACCCTTATGTAGTTATCACTCATCTGCATCTTTCCCTCTTGCTGAAGAAACCAGTTGATTTAAGTTATAAGAAATGACTAAATGGAACTAATTTTTACCCTTTAGATTTTCAAGGTAAGAATTAGTCATTGGTAATGAAAATACTTCGATAATTCTATACCATAAATTTAGCCAAATACAATGCAGAAAAACCTAGCAACCATTTCAATTCCGGCAATTAGAACTATTCCTGAGTTATGCTATACTTATTTATATTACTTTCCTGTAATAATGTTTGGAAACTAGCCCAAGAGTTTGCCGGTTCTGATTAAAAAAGATTTCAACAGGCAGAAAATCAAATATACAAAAGCAATAATAAAAACTACCACTTAGCAAAGACAAGTTAATTTTGTTGTTGAAGAGCTTTCTACATTAACTAAGGATGCTTCACTAGTGTCTTTCTGATGACACTCTGGTGAAATGTGTCAATTTTGGAGGAAAAAAAAAACTCAAGCAGAGGATTGGATGACTTTCTAAAGCCCGAGAGAACTTAGAGATTAGAAATGAGGGCAAGAATAATATTTACTATTGCTAACACTGCACTATTTCATTGAATATGATACAAATGTTACTTAAAAGGTGGGCTGTCAGAAAATAAAAGAATCTACTTTATGATTATGTTAATTATAGTCATAGTCCTAATGGCCAAAAATAGGGACAACCTATGTGTTCAAGAAGAGATGAATAATTATTTAAATTGGAAGCATCACAGTGTAATAGAAAAAAATAAAAGAGATTTTATATTATCTGTGTGATCCTGGGGCAAGTTATTTAACTGAGTCTATTTTCTCATCCATAAAGTGGGTATAATGCCAAATACCTGACAGGGCTGCTCTAAGGGTTAAATACGACGTGTGCAAGACACTTAGCACAGTGATTGATAAATAACAGGTATTCAAAACATGATTTTATTCTATGATGTCTATATTGTGCTATGTTCTGTACCTATTAAAATTATGCTACAAAAAATTTTAAGATGCAAAAGACTAAGTTATGATGTTAAGTGAAAAAAGTAAGATAATAAAATAATGCATTTTGTATGTTTTTTTTTTAAAGATTGGCACCTGAGCTAACAACTGTTGCCAATCTTTTTTTTCCCCCCTGCTTTTTCTCCTCCAATCCCCCCAGTACATAGTTGTATATTTTTAGTTGTGGGTCCTCCCAGTTATGGCATGTGGGACGCTGCCTCAACATGGCCTGATGAGCGGTGCCATGTCCGCACCCAGGATCGGAACCAGTGAAACCCTGGGCCACCGAAGGTGGAGTGGAGCATGCAAACTTAACCACTCAGCCACAGGGCTGGCCCCCTTGTATGATCTTAACAATGTAAAAAACATATGGATGCAAAAAGAGTAGAAAGAAAACACATAAAACTAACAGTTATCTCTGCATGATAGAATTATGGAAGATTAAAAATTTTTCTTTGAACTTGTCTATATTTTTCCTAATTTTCCCAAGTTTTGTAATTTAAAAACATCGTTTTGATAAAGAAAAAACTATAATTCTAAAGTAATTTTAATTTAAAAACTTACAGTATCCTTCTACCATTCTTTTTTTTGAGTGAATATTTTACATTATGGAGACGTTTTACACTAATGTAGAGGTAAGACTTTGGACACTTTACATTGTGAGGCTCATCTGCTCCATAAAGTGAAGATATGAGGTAAATTGTGAAAAAACAGAGCATGGTGGCTTGAACTTTTAGATAGTCATCCTGATTTAAAAAAAAGATAAGAAAGATACCCAAGAAGTTGCAATAAGAGCCATCTGAGAGTAACCAGCGTGGACCATAGCATAAGTCACCAGCTTGTCAAAGTCACCAACTAGTTAGTGGCAGAGCTACAATCAACCTCAGTTGGCTCCTTACCAAGTAATCGTTCTTCAAGATCTTCCTTGACTTTGCTTCAGTTAGCTTGTTCTCTCTTGACACAGAAGCATGATATGTTCATTCTTATCTCCATGCTGTTTGACTATCCATGCTGTTGTGTTCATGGAATGCATTTTTATTTCATACGAGTCCAACACATTTGTTCATGAAGCTTTCCCTGGCCATTCTATCAAGATCTTATTAATCTCCTTGTAAACTGAACTCATGGTAGACAGAATGCATGGTAGCATATGGTTTTCACCATAAATTGGAATTTATTTATATTTGGTCTTACGTTGTTAGTTTTTTCATAAATTAGTTACCTCCCCCAATAGACAGAGCATCTTTTACGTGAGGGACCTTGCTATGTATTTCTCTCTCTCTCCATAGACTTTGTTTCAGTGCTAAGCACACAGCAAGCATCTGTTCATACTTTCTTGATAATTACAGAAGCTAAAACATTTCACTACTGTCCTCCTTTCCAATAGGAACAAGATGCAAAAACTTAAAATTATATGAAAAGCTCATAAAACTCTCTCCTCTTTAACTCATTCTCATTTTATAAAATTGCATATCTATGAAACATAGACTTTACTGGACATGATTTAAAATATACGTCAGATTTGCCTGGTCTATCTGAATACAAATTAACTCTTCTACAAATATTTACAATCATTTTTCCTGGGACATCCAACTTCTAAGCAGCTCATTTTTAGATATCAGCCAGAAAGAAAAAAATAACTATTTCAACTCTCTGCATTCCTCTCACCCCACCAAACAATTTTTTAATTACAAAATAAATGAATGCATCTTATTCTCTTCCCCAGGTAACCATAGTTTGTAGTCTAATATGTACCTACTGAGAGCTTTCTCTAAGTATTTACTTACACATATACAAATACAGGGATTTTTAAATGTTTGTTTGTTTTTATATAAATGGGATCATTCTATATTCTTTCCCCCATATAACAGGTCATAGAAATATTTTCTCGTAAATACAGATATACTTCATTTTCTTTAGCCATTATAAAGTATTCTATGATACGTATGTACCATTATCTATTTAATCATTCCCCAATTGACGGCATTTGTTTCTAACATTTAGAAAGGAATCCTATAATGAACATCCTTTTATGTATATCTTTGTGTACATGTGAAAATATTTCTGATGTATCAGAAAATATAGATATTTTAAATCTTGAGAGATAGTACCACAAGGCTATATCAATTTCATTACCAACAAAAGTGAAAGACAGTGCCCACTTACTTATATCCTTTCAAAATGGAGAGGGAGGGAAGGTATCAGTATTTTATCCCTTGCCTATTCCATGCCCATGGCCACTATAGCTACAGCTAAAGCTGCTAACAGTAGAAATTTTCCTACAAGCAGTGATAATGTCTGACTAGAAAGAACTTCAAAATCTTCTGATAAAATTTTAATTTGCTGCATGAAGTTGAAGATAAAAGAGGCAGTCAACCTTAAAAAACAACTGGAAATAAATAAGACCATCCCTTTATCTCCTTCATAATGCTGCTTTCCTTATGGAAGAAAACTGTTCCATTGTAATAAAATGGCTGAAGCATTCACCAAGAGGTCTTTGAAATCTGCCAGAAGAGGAAAGGGCTCATTAATAGTGGAAAGTCCCCATAATTTTGTTCCATCAACTGACATGCCTCATTCAATCACTATTTACAGTAGAATAGTAGATGAATACAATACTGTAACAATTTTTTATTCTCACTGAAACCTAAAAGCTTTCTCTGGAAACAAGGATTAGTATGGTAACCAAATTCTAAAGGCTTATCAATTCAAAAGCTGAGTAAATAGAATCAAATTCCTGAAACTCCTCTTCCAAAATTAAAATAACTCAAGTTTCTCACTTTTAAAATCAGGTTTCCAGAATTTAAAAATTAAAAAATGAAAATGATGTAATGAAATTGTCACGTGACATTAACTAGCACCAAAATTAGTAGTTATTTAAACAAAAATCATACCTCCAACTTTCCTAACCTTTTTCTTTTTCCCTTTTTTTCTTTTTCTGGTGGAGTAGAAGAGGCTAAACTTTAAAAAAAAAATCACCTATGAGAATATGCTATTCTGATGAAGAAACTCACATTTGCAAAGGCCTTATCACTTTGTGGAGCATGGCATGTTCAAAGAGTCATCCACATATTGCCAAAATCCATTACTGTCAGCAAAATAAAAGAGATGGAAAAAATTCAGGATAGAATACCAAAACTCTCTTATGCCAGAAAAAAATGTGAAATCAGAAGTGTGGCATTTACTGTGATTCACCTCCTGCAGTGGTTTCAACTCTAACCTCTTTCAATGAGTGGTTTTAACCACAAGCTAAATTGCAACCTAAAAATCAAGCCATAGCTTGCTTTAATGTTGAGCCATTGCAACTAAGAAATAAAATCAATGTTGCTGAGCTTCTGTGTATGAACGTAGGCTGATCACTGCCAATTATTGGCATTTAGCTTTTAAGTGGGTAACTTTGACTGTAAATTGTTCTGTGCTCCACTTTGACAGCTTGCTTTCTTATGCTGTCAGATTTTTAAAATATGGCAACATCAAATGGCTATGAATTAAAATTAGATGCTTTCGATTTCAGCAAATATAATCAGTATCTTCAGGTTAATTCAGTGTAACTTTTGAGTTAGACTAACTCAAATAGTTTTAATCTTATTTTTTTAAAGTAGCAAAAAATCAGCAGAAAAGACATATAGTTCTAACAATGAAATAACGTCAAAGGTACTTTTTTTTCAAACATTAAACTGGCAAAGTGAAAAGTAAGAAATGCAAAAATTCTTAAATTTCAAAAACTAAAAGAATGCTACCATTAAGAAGAGAACTAGTAAAGTCGTTTTATGTAAGCTACACTGTAATTACCTAAAATTTAATTACTAAAAGTCTACTTGTTGATATAACCGTAATCTACTGTAACAGTTCTTCAAAGCCCGGTGCAGCAAGACGACCTCTGTGAATTGTTCTGTGCTCCAGCCTTGAAGGCAAGGTCTTGTTGGATACTTCTCCCATTATCTCAATTTGAGAAGAAATAGAAAACAAAATATTTTTTTCTCCTTCAGACACCCTCAGCCCCTGCTGACTTCATAAAACCACCAGAGATCTCAGAAGGCTTTAAGATATCAGGTTCATAGTCTGAAACAAAATGACTCTTATAATGAAGCATAATATATTCTTTAGTTCATAGCTGATTCTTCAATTGGAAAATATTTCTATGAGAGATAAAACAGTTTTTATTCTTCAACAGAGCAGACTAATGGTTAAATCAGAGAAACTATGCGTATGTTTTTAAGCACTCTCTCGCTCAACTGCAACCAGCGGCCCCCTCCCCATTTCCTTCTGCCTCTTCTCCACATCCTATGAGCTGTCAGTGATCCTGGCACTGCTCAGCCTGGAAGTAAATGGCAGTTATTCCTACCAAGGAGTGACAACAACTCTAGGAGTATCCATGTTAAATAAAGAAAGGGGTAAGAAAAATCTTGTTCTACTTACAAGAAAAAAAAAAAAGAAAAGGCAAGGAAATAAAGTGATTTTTGGAAAAGTGAGTGTAAAGTAATAGCTGGAAGACTTGATTTTCAATTGTGAGTTTAGAGCAAGATTCTTTAGCCCTAGGAAAGAGAGTAGGGCAGCTACAGGACTAGGGCAGTCTTTTAGGTGCCCTCCCTAAAAGAGAGTAGGGCACCTCTCCAGGATAGGTGGTGTTTTCTTTGTTTTTCATTTTAAGTTATACTTTTCAAGAGGTAGACCAGGATAAAAGAAGAAAAGTATCAGGAGAACTATATTGCAATTAAGTTAGCCACTAACTGTTTTTGGTGGATTGCTAGTCTCCAATAAATGCGAGGGAGAATCTCAAAGATCAATTAAAACTGCTGAGATCTGTAACAGACAAAGACCCACATGTTCAAATTTCTCACCAAATCTCAGCCTTCTGCTATACAATCAAAATACTGGGGATGAGACGGATGGAGAAAGACAAAAGAATTATTTTAATAAACATGGTATATGATAAATGGTACAATATTATAAAAAATTTCAATGAACATGACATTCACTTTGCCATTACTTGGGATAACAGCTGTACTTTATTTGCTGACAACTATCAAAGCATATAAAAAGCAAAATATTTAAATTTTTCTTATTGTTAATGATTCAGTTCTCACTGATTTTCAATACAGATTTGTAATCTGATCACGTAGAATGTGCTATAAGTAAGGCATGTGTCTTATTCTGAGATAACATCTTAACTACAAGATTAATAAACAAACTAAAAATACAGAAGAATTACTTCTGATAGAAGAGAGAGATGTAAAATTAAAGTCAGAAGAAAGAAGTATACATGAAGAAGTTATCCTTTGTCAGACGAAGTGAATCCAAAGGACTCTAGTGCCACTAACAGGAAGATTTTATCATCCACCACCACCTATGCTTTCAGTTTGCCAGGACTATTCATTTTAGTACTTTAATTCCATTCCCACTTTGACTGTTAATTAACAAGACAGAGATACAGAAACATGTATCAAATATTAAATAACAAAATATTGTTAGACTATTTGAGAGTAAGAACAGGGCTGACTGATGACCATGCCCGATATATCTATTTGATTGTTGAAAGAGTATAAGAAATTATGTGGATATTAAGAAAAAAAGAGTTGTAAGTAGAAAGACTGAGAAGTACAAAGACCCTGAGGCTAAAACTTGTCTGATATGCTCAAGGAACAATAAAATGTCTAGAGTCTATAATATCATAAGAAACACACTGTGACACAATGAAAGAAATAAGAACCTAACTTTACAACATTTCCAACATCTTTAATTTTGGTTCCTCTCTCTGATTTGCAGTAAACAACCTTTATTTTTCTTTCTAAGCCTAACAAGACTAATTTTATAGAAGAAGTTGCTTTTTAAAAGTGCTTTTATGTGACATTCCACTGAAAAATAAGATTATGCATTATTCTTTCTTTTCTCTTTTATTGTTCCAATTAGTTGGTTGTTCAAAACAAGCAAACTTGCAGACATACATTTCAATTCAAGAACATACAACACAAACTAAGTGTCAATATCTAATTCAAGAAAATTATACTGAAATAAAAATTAAACTTATATGTTGATTGCCCCACAGTACCTCAGGGAAATGGACCCTGAAAGATCAACACTGAGAAATATAAGAGTTCTTGAACTTCAGAAATAAAGAAATAAGCCTTTGGGTGGCCAGGCAAAAGATTAAGTCATTTACAATGGGAAAAAATTGGACTGGCCTGTTACTTTTATCTATTCAATTCCATATTTACTAAGATACTCAAGGAGAAGAAGTTGGACCCTATTGATTTTTATATTCATCCAAACTGTTCTTTAATTATTAAGGTTACAAACACACAAGAACTAGGGAAGTACTGTTCATGAACCATTTCTGAGAAAACTATTCCAAGACTGACTTTAGCCAACCAAGGGATGACTGGGGCAACTATGGCAACAGAACTGTTGAGGAAAATTAAGACTACAACAAAAATAGAGATTAGGATAACAAGATATACCATAAATGTTACATATCCTGACAATGTAATGAACAAAAATTAGGAGGAACAACTTTCAAAAAAGGACAGGAGGGATAAATTCACTGATTGCCTCATCTATGTCCCTCTACTCAACAAAAGTGAAATACACATTCAGTTGCACATGGAATACTTACCAAGATAGACCATATACTGAGCCATAAAATAAGTCTCAACAAATTTAAATGATTCAAATCACAAAGTATGTCTTGACTACAATGGAATTAAATTAAAAATCAGTAACATAGACACACTTGGAAAACTGTTAAATATTGGGAACTAAATAACAAATTTCTAAATATCCAAAGTTCACAGAAGAAACAAAAAGGTAAATTAGAAAGCATTTTGAAAAAAATAAAAAGGCAAACACAACATAACAGAATTTGTGGGATGCTGCTAAAGCACTACCTAAGGGGACCTCAAGCTTTCACCGTAAGAAACTAGAAAAAGAACAAATAAAACTCAATGCAGATGAAAGGAAATAATAAAGGTCAAAATGGAAATCAATGAAATAAAAAACAGAGAAACAATAGAGAAAAATCAATAAAATTTTGAGATAATAAAATTCATAAAATTGATAAACCTCTAACAGACTGATTAGGAAAAAAGAGAAGATACAAGTTACCGATATCAAGAATTACAGAAGTGGCATTACTATAGATTCTATACATATTAAAATAATAAGAGAATATTATGAACAATTTTATGCCTATTAAAAGTGACAACTTAAATGAACGGGACATACTATTTGAAAGTCACAAATGATCAAGTTTGCTCAAGAAGATGATAACCTAAATAGCCCTGTATCTATTAAAGAAATTGAAATAATTTTTAAAAACTTTCCCACAAAGAAAAATCCTGACCCAGGTGGCTTCACCAATGAATTTGACCAAATAGTAAAAGAAGAAATAGTATACCAAGCTTATACAAACTGTTCCAGAAATTGAGAAGGAAACACTTTCCAACTTATAATATATGGCTAGTATTACCCTGAAATTGAAACTAGACAAAGACAGGTTTTATAACATTGTACATGAATATATAATTTATTCAAAACAATTAAGTAAATCTAACTTTTAAAACTTCTCCCAGAATGTATATTTTTTCATTATTTCTTCTTGGTAAGCAATTTCAATCTACATCTGGGTTTTTGTCAAGTTCAGGGAAATATTATAAAATAGTATTTTATTAGTTTCTTCATTCTATTACCTCTATTCTCTTTCTAGAACTTCCAGTCCTGTCTCCCATGACTCCTTTTCACTTATTTTGATCTTTCTATCTTTTTGTTCTAGATTCTAGGGGACTTCTTCCACCTGTCCTACATATCACTATTTTGGTCTTTGGAAGTGTTCATTGTATCATACAATATTTTTCATTAAATTTAATTTGGCAAAGATTATTTCTAAGAAGTGTATTATTCGTTTTCTTTTTGTATCAGCCTGATCATGTTTTATAGATGCAGTATATATCTTTTCTATGTTCTTTTTCTTCAAGGGTCACTTCTCTTTGTTCATCTTAGCCATTTCAATAGATTTTAAAAAAAGAAAAAAAATAATTGTGTTTGGTCCCTATTGAACCAGAAATCCGATTCCTTTACTTATATAGGAAATTTTGTAGAATATTTACTATGAATATTAATAGGAAAATTCATTATGTGTTGTAGACCATCTTACCTTTCAGAGATGAATCTAATCCAGTTAACTAGAATACTTCATCTGTTGCCACTACAAATAGTAATGTGATATAAAGGGTTCTGAGCCAAAAATCAGAAAGCAATAGGTTCTAATGGCTAGCTATTGTATCCTGAAGAAGTCTCAGCTTGCTTTCCATAAAGAAATAATTCTCATGTAACCTAAGATAGTCTATTATAACTTATTAAAAAATTCCTTAACAATTGCTTCTGTTTCAAGTAATAGTAGACTAGGTAATTCAAGCAAACCCTCCTACTGAAAAAACTAAAAACACTTCTAAAACAAAAATCAGAGCGCTAACAAAATAATGACTAATTACCAGGCCAGAAACCAGTTGTGAACCCAGAAACAAGCAAAACACTGGAGAGGATTTTGTCCTGAGAGCAGTTCCATAACTAGAAGACAAGGCTGAACGGCTAAGGCACGTTTCTGCCAAGAGTCAAAATGTAGAGCCTGCCAAGGGTGGGGAGTCTAGAAATTGATATCATCTGGGACGCTACAGGGCTGCACTCTGGTACTAAGGGTAAACTGAAAGTCAAACAACCTTCCAATTAGTCTGTGGCCTGCCTTTGAAGGACTGGGGGACCAGAAACATCTCAAGTCTTAAAACATGGAAGGGTTAAAGTGGTCCCCTAGGCACCTGACAGAAGCAAATAAAAACCCCTCTGGAAAAAGATAACATCACCATAGGCCTCAAATGATTTAGTAATAGAACCTTATAAATATTCATTACTGAAATTATATAAATAGGTACAGATGTAATTTTTCTAAATAAACATTATAGTATCCTTATACCACACCAATAACTAAGAAGGTGTCCAAAATTTTAAAAATTCCATTTAGTGTTTGTATAAATGTGTGGGCATTTAGAAAAATAAACAAGACTATATAAATATAGAACAATATCACAGTAAGCATAATTCAACTTTCTGTAGTTTGGCTAAGTCTTCGTAACACATTTTCCACTTCAAGACATCTCTCTTCTTAGTCCCTCAATACTACAGATGAAACTTTAAACTACGTTGGCCTTGTTTTAAAAACTAAATGGCATGGTTTTATCTTTCAGTGTGGTCTACTTTAGCATGCGACATTCTGAAATACAAAAAAAACAGAAAATGCACCCATTCTGTAATTTAAGCACGGACCTATAATAGAATATACACATATGACTCAATATTCTATTTTCTTTATAATCCAAGTGAGCTCATTTCCTAAAACCTAATTAGTTTCTCTGCTAGAAAATGGAAATAAAAAGCAATTATAAAATACTTCTTTTAGAAGCTTTACTACTTTGACAATGTTAAATTTTAATCTTTTAATTTCTATCAAAATGGATCAAAAACAGTCTTTCTAATGTCCAAGTAGCTATAAATGACTATCAATATCTTCTTTCTCCCCTCATACCTATAGTATCTGGGAGGTCTAGCAGTTCATTGTGCTGCAAGTCAAGGTTGGTTATTTGTGTGCAGTTTCCAATCTCCTTTGGAAGGTGTTCAAGTTGATTGTGAGCTACATCCAGCGTAATGAGGTTACATAATTCACCTGTAAATTGACCAACATAAAAATTTAATAAGAATTATTAAAGAATATGTTAAATAATACTGAAAGAAAACCTTCATTTTCTATATTAAAATTATACTTTCTTTCTGAAAAAGTCAAACAAAATCTGAAACTCTTATTTGAAAATGATATCTTACAAATATTGAATCATTACTGTTGTACAACTGAAACTAATATGTTATATATATTTTTTATATATATATTCTACATATATATTTAAATTTAAGTAACCAATTCAACTATAAACATTTACACTTGTATATTGCATACTTTAAAAAGAGCCCACTAACTTTTTTCACCAAATTCAACACAATAATATCAGATATACCTTGAGTTCAATTTGAGGGTCACCTTCTAACTCAAAATATATATGCTCTCAAATAGGCATATGTTCTAATGTTACACAGATATAAAAATGGAGATTTATAAATCAAAAACTCCTTCTCAATAGTACTCTAAAAAGATAAAAAATAAGGTACATTTCTCCTTCTCATTCTGGTTGAAAGGGCAGTATTGGCAACTCAGATTATTCTTAGTGTTACTCTGTCTTCAAAAACCCAACATTTATAACAGATATATTGGTTCTCTCGTAATTTTCCTTTTTTTTATTTTTAAGGCAGAGGTTGGAGATACTAAAAAAGACAAGCAAACAAAGTATATACAACTCTGAAAAATGGGTGTGAGGCACATTATTAAGGCACATATTATAAACAAAAGAAAAAACAGATAAATTGAATTTCATCAAAATTAAAAACTTGTGCATCAAAAGACACTATCAAGAGAGTGAAAAGGCAACCCATAGAAGGGGATGAAATATTTGCAAATCATGTATCTACTAAGGGATTAATATAGAGAATATATACAGAATTCCTACAATTCAACAACAAAAAAACTCAATTTAAAAGTGGGCCAAGGATTTGAATAGACATTTCTCTGAAGACACACAGATGGTCAATAAACACATGAAAAGACTAAACATCAATAAACGTCGATAAACATCACTACTCATTAGGGAAAAGCAAATCAAAACTACAATGAGGTAAGACTTCACACCCATTAGGATGGTTACAACCAAAAAACAGAAAATAACAAGTGCTGACAAGGATGTGGAGAAATTGAAATCCTTGTGCGTTATGTCTAGGAGCTCCATCCCAGGTTCTCAGGGGATCTCAGAGAAAAAATCCCCTCCTGTTTCTACCTAGGCACAGCATATTCAAATTACAGAAAATCAAAGGCAGAGAAAATTCTGAAAGAAGCTAGAAGGAAAAAACACCTTACCTATAGAGGAACAAAAATAATTACATTGGACTTCTCTTCAGAAACCATGGAAGAAAGAAGAGAAAGGAATGAAACATTTAAAGTGTTGAGGGAAAAAATACACCAACCTAAAAGTCTGTATCCAATGAAATTATCCTTCAAAAGTAAAGGAGAAATAAAGACTTTCTCTAATAAAAATTGAGGGAATTTGTCTTTAGTAGACCTGTCTTGCAAGAAATATTAAAAGAAGTTCTTCAGAAAGAAGGAAAATGATATAGGTGGGAAACTTGGATCTACATTAAGAAAGGAAGAGTATTATAGAAGGAATAAAGATAAAATATTTTATTTTCTCACTGAAGTGATCTAACAGATAACAGTTTGTTCAAAGTATCAATAGCAACAATATATTGGGTGCTTACAGCTTAAGGATAAATGAAATGAATGACAGCAATGTTATAAGGGATGTGAGGGAGGAATTGGGAATATTCTGTCATAAGGTAGCTACACTACCCATGAAGTGGTATAGAGTTACTTGAAAGACTGATATTAGCTGTAAACGCATACCGCAAACTCCAGGGCAACCACACACATACATACAAATAACCAAAAAGTTAAAAGAAGCATAAATGATATGGTAGGGAGAGAGAAAATGAGTAATATATAATGCTCAACTAAAATCAGATAAGGCAGAAAAATGGTAAAAGACAAAAAAGAAATAAAGAGCAAGTTCAACTACTAGAAAACAGTTATATAGTTGCTATTAATCCAATTAAATCAATAAACACTTTAAACGTGATTAATATAAATCCACTAAATAAAAGACAGAGACTGGCAGAGCACATAAAAAAACAAGACCCACCGTATGTTGTCTTTGAAAAACCCACTTTAAATACAGACACAGGTAGATTAAAAGTAAAGGGATGGAGAAATATAGCGCAACTGTTAATCAAACGAAAGCTGGAGTGTGGCCAGGTGGTTAAGTTCATGCACTCTCCTTCAG